AAGCTCAAACTAGTGAAAACATAGCTGCAATACTAATGTTCAGTGATATTTACAGGGTGTTGTTGCAGTCCAGCAATCCATCTATCAATTAATCAGGCAGATTACTGAGGCACTACCTCACGGGAATGGCAGTGACACTGTGGAACACAACCCTGCAGTCCTGTATCAGGACGACGCAAAATAAAAATCAGCACTCATTCGCACTTCACTGGCACATACCACTCCTGACACAACTCATAAGCGCGATGGTACATTCTGCACTTACCAAGCTTAGCCTCCTCCACTTCCCTCTCAACCCATTCTATCTAGCTGTACCTAGATGTATAAAGGAGAGCCTCTAGGGCCAATTCTGATTGATACTGTCCAGCAAGGCCATCTGTAGCCTCCCCTACTGAGTAAGGGAGATGGGGAGAAATGTCTTCACCCAAGGGCGGTGAGCCTGTGGAATTTTTTTCCACAAAGTAACTGACGCCAAAACATCTATGGATAACAAAAATGCTGTCCTAGATAACACCTACATCCTGTGAAATAACGAATAAAAAGGGTAGGATGCACAACTCTCCACTCCCCAGCATCTACTCTTATTAAGACCATCTTATTTTCCAAACATCTCGGAAATATAGGTCCGGTCCATTCAATCACCAAGTGATGGAAGGGATCACTGACAAATATGTCAAGCAGCACTTACTCTGCAATAACCTGCTCATGCATGCTCAGTTTAAATTTCGCCAGGGCCACTCAGCTCCAATACACCAAAGAAGTGAGATGAGAATGACTGCCCTTGACATCAAGACAGTATTGACTTAGAGAATCAATTAAATCTAACTAAGTCAATTGGAAACAGAGGGAAGACCCTTCACCATTTAAAGTCATACATAACCCAAAGTAAGATAGTTGTGGCTGTTAAAGATCGATCATCTCAGTCCCAGGATATCACTGCAGGAGCTCTTCGAGGTGTCCTAGGCCCAACAATCTTCCGGTGCGTCAATGATCATCTTCCATCACCAGGTCAGAAAGGAAGTCATTCACTGATCGCTCAACATTCAGTACTATTTGTTACATCTTAGACACTGAAGCAGTCCATGTTCAAATGCATCTAGAGCAGGTAAAAAATCCAGGCTTGGGATGATAAATGGCACCCAAGTGCTAAGCAATGGCCATCTCCAACAAGAATCCAACCAATTCCCCTCACCATTCAGCAGTATTAATATCATTAAGTTCCCTTATCAAAAGCCTGGGGATTACCATTGACCAGAAACTGAACAGGACCAGCATATAAACACTGTGGTCTCAAGAGCAGCTCAGAGACTAGGAATCCTGCAGCAAGTAATTCACTCCCTTTCTGTCTATTGCCAATCCATCAACTACAAGTCAAAAGTCACGAGACAGAACACTTCACACTTTCCTGGACAGCAGTTGCAAAATCATTCGAGAAGCGTGACACCATCCAGAACATAACAGCCCACTTGACTGATACTTGCTGCAACTGTACGGGCATTTCTAAGACCACACTGAGTGTTGTGCGCAGCTTTTCATTTCCTTATACGAGGATGGAGGCTCTAGCTACTGAGGAGTGCAAAGAAGGTTTACCAGACTGATTTCTGGAATGGCACACTGAGGACTATATTCAATGGAGTGAAGAAGAATGAGGAGGGATCTCAGAAATCTATAAAATTCGAACAAGGTTTTCTGATATGGCAGAAACAGCGAGGGTGATTTCAATGACAGAGGCGTCCAGTCCCTGAATTCCAGATCCAGGAATTACGGTCCAAGGATAAAAGGGTAGACTTTTGAGGACAGAAATTAGGGGAACTTTCTTTATCCAGGGAATGATCAGCTTATGGAATTCTCTGCCACAGGAAACTGCAGAGGCCAAAACATTGAACACTTACAACAAAGAAGATATAGTTCTTAGAGATAAAGGGATCAAAGGAAATACTGAGAAAACAGGAACAGGGTATTGAATTGGATGATCTGCCATGATCATATTAAATGGCAGGGCAGGTTTGGAGGGGCCGAAAGAATCTGGGAACAGGTCAATGTTTCCCATGACACCCAATCAATCAATCTAAACGTTAACTTCACCACCGGCACACAGTGGCAGCAGTTTGTATTGTCTTCATGATGTATTGCAGCAACTCACCAAGTCCTTTGACCCAAATCCCTGACTTCGACTACTCAGGGGTACAAGGGCAGCAAATTCATAGGATCACTCCCTCCTGCAAGTTTCCCTCCAAGCCACACAACATCCTGACTTGGTTCTATATTGCTGTTCCTTCATTGTTGTGGGGTCAAAATCTTGGAACTCCTTTTCTAACAGCACTTTAGATGTACTACACTCCACAATTGCACCACTTTCCAAAGGCAGCTCACTGTCACCTTTTCAAGGCAATTAGGGATGGACAGTAAATGCTAGCCTTGCCAGCAATGCCCATATCCCATGAACAAATAAGAAACAAAAAATCAAGACATCATGACTCCTGCCAGGATACCAGGCACTGACCTGCATGACAGGCTGTGTATGGTCGCACACCAGCTGGATGTTGAGGGACTGGAATCCCTTTCGGTAGCAGTACATCTCAGAGTTGACAGGCAGTGCACAGAAGGTGACATACATGCAGTAAATGGAACCCTGCACATTTTGTGAAGCCATATGCTTGCTGCCCCGCTTCTCTCTGGCAATGGAGAATGAAATATATTCAAGTCTCTTAAAGTACAGGGTCTCAATCATGCAATAGTGGATCACAAACTGGGGAGACGTTGCTTATATCATCTCTTCCAGCCTGGAAGGAGCCCAACGTATTAATGTTCATAATTACATTCAACTTTACAGCCACTAACAAAGTTGTCTTCTCCCCGTTCTGTAGTTGGAGCTGTAGCTGAAATGGTTGACAACTTTCATTAAGGATGTCCTTACTCATGCAGACGTCAAAATACAATTTATCAAGTACAGGAATTATTCCCTGGATTGGGTATAGTTCCTGCTGAGAACCTTCTACTTCTCACTTTATCCAGAAGCTTCAGATGTTCTGCATCACCTCTCTTTTTTTCTCCATGCCATATTGTTGCCCGAGGGAATTGGATGCTGCTGCAACTATGTCTAGAAGTGAATAGTTTGCATAGGAGAATTGAAGTCAGGACAAAGTCCTTCAGCATTTCGTGGACTTCAGCAACTTTAAAAGCACTTGAGAATCAAACACTTCTGTAGTTGTAGCAACAGCTAACCAAAATAAATCAGTAACTAACTCAAAAAAGTGGTTGCTCAAAAAGGATGGGATGTTAGGATACACTTATTGAGTCCAATGTGAGAAAACTAGTGTCAAGTTAGCATTATGCACTAATGACTACACAATTTGCCTACTCTTATATATTGTCTGTAAACTCTTCCTGCAAGTCTGCCAATCACTCACGAAAATGACATGTGCATCACAGATGCCATTTTGAAGTCAAAATAGCTCGCATCTTTGAAAATCTAGATGACTAGCAGCTGAATTTGTAATTAATCTGCTTTGTTAATATATATTTGCTGGGTGTTGGGAAAACTCCCCAATCTTACATATACAGTGTTATGTAATTGTTTATCTTCTCCTGAGTTAGCAGACGGACCTCATGTTTAATACTTCAAATGACACACAACGCCTCTGATAGCGCCTGTGAAGTGTTAAGTTTCAATATGCTTAACAGTTTGGAGAGAAATTATGCCCACAATCTAATGGCTCAGAGGTGAATGCTATCAATTAAGCCATCACTGACATCTACGGTTCAGTTGAAATTTTATACGAAATCCTGACTGTGAAAAGCACAACTTTCTGCAGCTATAATTGGGGTGAGCAGTTTATGTACTCTATGCCACAGAATAATTTTTGCTTGGAAGTAAAAATTAACCCAATCAAATCTGTATGATTAATTAGATCAAACTTAAATTCTAATAATCAATTCACAAACAGGCAAAAATCTTCAATCTTTCAGGCTAATTTCTTTTAATTTCTTTTGCTTCTTCCACCATCAAAATGAAAGCTGGGATCAAGAAGGAAATGATACATTTTGAAGAGGCAGAAAAAGAACTGTTACTAAATAAACAGGTTAGATTAGAAATAAAGCAAAACCAAAGAAAAGGAGCTTGAGGGAGAAAATGTGCAAGAAGAGATGGACAAAGAGAGACAGCATTTAACATTATTCCAGTGTCCTGTGCTCATTAGCATGGTATTATGAAAGCACTCAAATAACCTTTCACAATGGCAATATAAATCAAGATTTTTACACCATTCATTGCGACAATATTCAAGGCTTTCCAGATAAGGCAATTTCAGGCACACACACATAGGCATGACAATAATTTCTGCTCTTTGGCCTTTAAAACAGGCTGTGTTTCAGTTTCTCTTCAGGTTTACAAATTGTGATTCCAAGGACTCCATCAATGAATTTGAACTGGCCTCAAGGAAATTACCAAATCCCATTGTCTTTCTCTTTGCAGTGAGACAGCAGGCCACCAGATTCCAACCATCCGATAGCACTGCTAAGACTGCAACCTCATTGGGTTTATACCTATTCCAAGTTGTGCAAGACATCATGTTCTTGATCTTAAACCTTACTACAAAGCTGAAATTCAAACAAACAACCTAATTAAATGAAATAAAAGCAAAGTACTGGATAAACTCAGCATGTCATGTCTGTGGAGGGAAACACAAAGTTAATATCTTGAGCCTCATATGACTTTTTAGTTCAGACGTATTATATCAGGACTGAACTGTTAACATGGTTTTTCTCTCTTCATAGATGCTGCCACAGGCCTGATCAGTTTCTCCAGTCTTCTGTTTATATTTCAGATCTTCAGCATCTGCAGTACTTTGCTTTAATTTATCTTAAGAACAAAACCCAACAGATGGGCTTTGTTAGTTTCAAAACTTCAGAAAAGCATGGCAGCATCAAATCATTCACTGAGTCATTGATGTAACTCCATATCTTAACTATGCCCTTGTCAGTTGTTGGATACCACTTACCATTAAGATGTGCAGCAACTGTCCAGTATATGAATTCCACACCTTTAGTGTATGGTTATTCACTGCGGTGATAACATTGTCATCATGACGATCCCAAGCAACCATTGTCACTTTAAGTTTTGTGACCTTATCATCCCCTGGACAGGAGGTGATTCTAAAGAGTAGACAACAAGCAGTTGCACATTGAGAAAAGGCAAAAATGAAACTTTGAGGAAAAAAGTAATTTACAATGACCAAAAAACAAAGAAAAATGACAAATCTGGAAATTAGATAGAAACAAAATTCAGGAAGTAAAGTCATTCTCTTGTCAGAAGCTAATAAACCTTTCCTGTTTTTGGCATTTGCTAAAGATCTGTACAAAGCACCATATCCTCAAGATCTGTTGTGATGGACCAAACTCCCTCAAAATATGTTAAGATGATAGCCTAGGCCCTAACCTTTTCTTATTTTAAAGAAGCGTAAGTCGTTGCGTTCCAGATGCAATTCGATTGGTCAAACCACTTGACTTAAAGCAAAACATTATTTTTACACTACAGTTAAAATACAGACAAAATAGGAAGAAAATTGGCTTAACTGTAACTCTATTGAAATCCCTAACAAAAAAATATAATATTAACTGTTACTAATTAACTGCTCCAATATCTTTACATTCTGTAATCATATCTTTGGCAAAGACAACTTCAGTAAAATAGATGCAATTCTAGCAGCAGGAAGTGAATCTCAGTTTTTAGCTGCAAGACAGGGAGGAATGAGAGCTTCCATTTTCAAGACTCCAGAAACTGCAGAAAGCTAAAACTAAAAATCCTGGTTCTGTGGGAGCTTGACTCCACGCTTTCAGGTTGCTTCAACTGTTCCAAATTTTTTAAAAAAAACTAAAGACCTCACAAGCTGTTTACTTGAATGGCTTTAAGCAGCTTGCTCTGGCACCTCTGTCTCAATCTTTCTTCAAAAAGAAGCCAGGACAAAATACATCTCAAAGCTACAGTATCATCACACCACCCACCATAAAAATGAATGAATCATCAATATACAAACTGGCTTGATATTTTAAAAAATCTTTAGCCTTACGCTATTAGTACACTACAATACATATATATGTTACATTATAGGCTAGGAGGCAAATGTTGACTACTACAGTCCGTTTCAGTCCGTTGTTTCCTGCCACTGAATGCCTCCGTCTTCCTTCAAAGTCGCGACAACACATCAGCAATTACATTCTCTTGTCCTGAAACCAGTATAATTTCCAAATTGAATGGCTGCAATAATAAGCTCCAACTAAATAGTCTGGAATTTTTATCCTTAGTACCTTAAAGTTATGGGGAAAATTTATGATCAGTATATACACAATTGTCTCAGACAAATTACTGGGAATATAAATGTTGAAATGTTGTAACGCCAACAATAAACTCAAGATCTCCTTCTCAATAGTGGAATATTTCTGTTGATGATTATTCAATATTCTGAAAAAATACCCAATAGGTCAATTTTTTCATCATCTTCTTCTAGCGAGAGTACAGCACCAAGATCCACATCATTCGCATCAATAGCCATCTTGAATGGCTTTGCACAATTAGGTGTGGCTAACACTGGGGCAGCGGTTAACACAGATTGCAGGCTGTCAATGCCTTCTAATATTCCTCCATCCACTGACATTTTCTGCACTTATTCAACAAGTCAGTCAGTACAACAACCACACTGCTAAAATTCAATATGAACTTGCGATAAAAATCACTCAGGAATCCCTCTTCATCAGTGTTTTGTGAAACTCCCCAAAACCTTTATTTTCACATCCTGTGGGGATATCTATCTCAGTCCAATGACATGGCCCAGGAATGTGACCCGGGCTTTTGTGAACTCTCTCCTAGCCATGTTTATCACCAATCCCACCTCCCAAAATCAATTGAACAATTCTGATAGATGTTCCAAATGTTCCTTCCACTTGTGACTAAAAATCACCAGATCTTTGATGCACACCATACAATTGGGTAATCCCAAAATTACTTTGTTGGTTAGTCTTTGAAATGTGGCAGGCACTTTTTTTATACCAAATGGCATGATATTAAACTGGTCCAGTCCATTCAATGTCACAAAATCCAAAACTTCCTTTACTCTTTTGGATAAAGGTACCTGCCAGTATCCTCTGAGTCAGTCCAACTTTGAAATACAAGTCGTTTGTCCCACCTTCTCAATGCAGTCGTCCAAATATTGAATAGGATACAAATCAGATTTTCTAACTGCACTGACTTTACGATAGTCCACACAATTGTTGGGTACCATCTGGTTTTAGCACCGTAACTATGGGTGAGCTCCATTTACTGCAACTCACTTAGATTATATTGTCTTTGAACATGCGCTCAATCTCTTTTTGAACCTGTGCCAACTTTAGACGGTGAAGTCAAAAAGAATGTTACTTAATTGGAACAGCATTACCTATATCTATAATCATGCTTAATCAAATTAGTACTTCCCAACTTATTCCACATATCTCTCCATGTGATTGTAATAACTATTTCAAGTCATCTCAATTTTCCTCTGGAAGGTAACTCAATCATTTATTCCAAATTTTAAGAACTTTCTCATTGTCCAATTCAAGTTGAGGAATGTCCAATTCAGAATCAACTGAACTTGGTTCTTCATGCTGTTTTAACCAGTGCCATTTTTTTATGTAGTCCAGGCCAAAAAATTGTTTTTGTATTTTGGCCTTTGTCTTCTTCACTCCTAAATGATCTCCTAATGGTAATTCATGTGCTATCCACAACGCCTCCCTTCTATAACCCACCGATAATAGAACTTTCTGAACTTCTGTTCTCATCTGCCTGAATGCACGATGGTCTCCATTTCCTCATCAAGACTTCATTTTTAAGATTGTATCCCAGGATGTCACTCTCTGATTTTCTGTGTTTGTTTTTTGATACAACTGTTTCAGTTTTGCACATTTCTGTTGTAATTCATCTAATTTCTCTTAACTAAAAATATCTACTTTGTCCTCCACCTAGTCTTGTTTTTGCTCAACCATTTTATCAAATATTGTTTCTGATAATTGAACTTCAACTTTCTTATCTTTATTCTCCTCCTGTTTCCAGCTGCAGCTTTGTGACCTTTTTACCAGAGTCAAGAAAAATCCCAGTATGTCCTTCCTGTAACATCTCAGTTGCCCGATTTTCTACTGGCTTTTCAACCACAATAGGCTTCACTCCCATCTGTGATCCAGCTGCATCATTACCAAAGTCAAACTGTATTTCTGGAACTGAGAACATCTCTATTATTCCTACCACCACTTCACTTTTCAGACTCTCCAACCTTACTTATATCATGGAAAACTGCTCATCACGAGTTCCACATATTATCACATTTTTTTCTGGCAATACTCCTTCTGAATTACATATCTCATCTCTCACTGAAGACTGACTTGCTCCTGTATCTCAAAACATCTTAGCGTTTTTTTTAACTTCGCTTCTCCCCACTCATGGGTTTTCCTTTCTACCCTGTGGTAAACCATCTTCTGAGATCTCCTTTTCTCTCATCACCTGCGGATTTCTCTTTTCTCCAACTTCTAACCCTCACACATTACAATTCATGTCAGAAGCCAAACTTTGATTTATGAGCCAACTCAAACATCTGCCATTTTTGCAGATGATCTTGCAGTCTTAACTCTGCTCTTCCAAGAGTTTTCACAACATCAGGAAGTGAATTTTTGAACTCCTACAAAATAATCGTCTCTCTAAGAATGTCATATGTTTGGTCTATTTTCAATGCCCTTATCCTTCAAACTCAATGTACGTTTGACCAGGTTCCCTCCTTAGATTACCAAAACGTTGCCTGTAGGTTTCTGGTATTAGCTCATATGCACTAAAGGTGGCTTTTTTTCACTTCCTTGTACTCCCCAGATACCTCTTCTGATTGTGATGCAAATACCTCACCTACCAACTTTGTTTTGATCAATAATACTCACATTGTCACCAGCCATTTCATTTGTTGAGCCACTTTCTCAAAAGAAATGAAAAAGGCTTCTGCATCCTTCTCAAACTCTGATAACACTTGGACATATTTAAGTAGATCCACATCACGCCTTTGCTATGTTGGGAGTGCTCTCTATCGCTGTCCTCATCACTACTCCTACATTTCAATTCTACCTCCACCATTTTAAATCGACTTCGAGTTTTTAGTACCAACCTCCGAAGTTCTCTCTCTTTCTCCCTTTCTTCTGCTAGGGTTTCCTTTCGTTTTCTTTTCATTCTGCCAGGGTTAGTATTTCCCTTCCTGTTTTCCTCTGCTAGTGCTATTCTCTCTTTCTGCTTTCAATAATAATTCAAACTGTTTCATTTCCTTTTCATGTTCAAGCTGCTTCATTTGCAATTGAATTTTAACCACCTCCAATGATTCCGATGGCATTTCTGGCAATCATAAATGGCGAGCTATTGCTGCAATTACCTCTCCTTTTCGAACAGACAAAGACAATCCCAACTCCAGCTTGTCTGCCAATTCCAAAAGCTTTCCCCTGCTCACTTTCTGTAAAACTCCTGAAATGACTTCCTCCACTCCATCAAACTCTTAACTACACAAGGCACACCTTACTAAACTAGCCAAATGCAAACCCAAAATAAACACCAACACTTTTAGTCCAACAATCCTGAACCCTACCTGGAATTAGGGATTTTGATCCTGACAAGAGCTCCTAATTCGTTCTGGACCAAACCAAACCTCCTCAAAATATATTAAGAAGATAGCTTTAAAATAAGAAAAAGTTAGGATCTAGGCTAAACGTAAGACATTGCATTCCAGATGCAATTCAATTGCTCAAACTACTCAACTTTAAGCAAAACACACTTTATTTTTGTACGACGATTAAAATATAGACAAAAATAAAAATAATTGACTTAACAGTATCTCTATCGAAATACCCAAGAAAATAATATATATATAAAACTAATTAACTGTTCCAATACAATAACGTCCCATAAACACACCCTTGGCAAAGATAAATTAAGTAAAACAGATGGTCTCACATGCAATTCTAGCAGCATGAAGAGAACCCCAGCTTTTAGCTGTAACAGATTAATTCAAAATGCATCTTCAAGACCCCAGCAACTACAGAATGCTAAATCTTAAAACCCTGTTCTGTGGGAGCTTGACCCCACCCATTCAGGCTGTTCTAACTTTAAATAAAACCCAAGACCTCACAGGAAGTTTAAGTTATTGGCTTTGAGCAGACAGCTCTACACATATCTGTCTCAACCTTCCTTTGTTTAAAAAAAGGATAAAATACATCTCTTTAAAGCCACAGTATCATCACACTGTACAATATAAGTAACAAACTACATGTCACAGCATCGATATTTCTAGACATCAAGAATCCATTCAAATTTGTTACTACCAGCAAATGACACCAGCTTTTGAAGGGTTTGTTCAAGTTTTAGATTATTACAGATCTAAAAGATAACCTTTTTTTTTCCCTACAGTTTTCCTTCTATTATTCATAATCATTTTTAAATCTCCTTGAAGTTTTATTAAGCCCCTTTCTTCAAAACTGAGCTACAAATCACTGTACAGTTATATTCTACACAACATACAAATCTAAACTTCTGGTCATCTCGGTTATGTACTTTAAAATCACTTGTAAATAACTTAGCATGTGGCAACTTACCCTGGCAATTGAGCACCCATGTCTAACAAGATACTTTTCCACTCTTGATACTGATATTGCCAGATCCGTGCTGTTCCATCTCTGCTACCACTGACCAATCTGTTTCATACAAAAAGAACACTAATATCAACATATACAGGATGAACCCTTTGAATAAATAAGATTTTAAGTTTTAAAATAGCACTTGTTGAAAAGAATCTTACAAAATTTAGTGAATGAAAACCTTGGCAACTAGTTTATTTCAAAGCACAGTTAAACTACATGTACAAAAAAAACGTAAAATTTAAAGGAATCTCAGCAATGAATATATTTTGTTCCTGGAGAACTACGTACTGAACAAGTCAATGAATGACTTCACTGCACCATTTGAAAATTGAGGTGACTGGCTTAACGGAGCAAATAGCCACTTTAAATTAAAGCAACCAGTTCCTAATAATACTTTTTAATAAAACTCATTCACTATTATATGTGATAATTTCTCAATCAACTTATTTAAATCAAGTTTATTGATTGCTAAGTTCCAAGGACCCCAGTAAAGTACAACTTTGAAAATAATGGCTGAAATGCATAACTTTATATCTCTATTCTAATTGAAACATTTCTAAATTAATTATTTTTAAATCACATGGCAATCTTATTTCAAGTTTAACCACTGCTCTTTTGAGATTAAACAACAAACTAGCACACATGAAAAATACATGCTGTTTGACTAATAAACAGCAGAAATCAAGATAGAGACGTTTTGAAGATAGTTAACAGATCTTAAATTTTAACTAACGGAAGAGAAATATAGTTTCGCTTGTGCTCTTCTCTCAAAAAGAAAGAAGCAGTATGGGCATTCACAGAGAGGTGGCAGCTATGGAGCATGCTTTGAAACTGCAGCAGAACTTGACCACAAAGTTCATGAATGACAATTATTTTGATCAGATTCACTAATAGGACAAAGTTAATTTACAACAGTTGTTAAATTTAATTTGTCCTACATACGACATTTCTTCTACCTTTTTCTCCAAGTCTTAAAAAAAGTTATAAATGATTTCAGCCAGTATTTAACAGAATTGTCAATATTTAGAACTTGACACAAGTTTAGTACAAAGACAGTTAGTATAATGGAAATTTTACGATGAGAAACCAATAAAGCAGATGTAAACATACATATTAGTATTCCTTTAGAAGGGTTTCCAAAGTCAGGTGGTAAAACAGACCATGTTAATATCATATTCATGACATTCATGTGATAATAATCAAGTAAAATATTTACCTATCACCATTGTTGGAGAACTGAATACTGTCTACTTTGTCCTGAAAAAGTGAAATTAAATATGAATGCAAGAAAATACTAATACAGTATGCAAATTAATTGGTAAGATTATTTTAAAAATAGTGTTCATTGTTTCATATAATCACCATACACTGTGCCACTCAAAAACAATAGTCAATAATGATTAAAAAATGCAAGATTAAAACAGCAAAACTTTTTAAATGTTTAATATCTGGCAAAAATCTGTTCACCTGTTTTCCAATCAATCAGTCATTAGTTGACTGGCTTTGCACCTCAAGGATTTCGGACTACTTGAATGAACAATGGCTCAGAGGTAGCATTTACACCCAAGCCAGAACATTATGGGTTTCAGCCACATTGCAGACAACCCTTGGATAGCACAGGAAATAATTACAAAATCTCTGGTTTACATCCAGCAAAGTACTAGCATTTCCCATCTTTACTTGTTCTCGCCAACATGTGACTCGAGCCACTTAACTGCCAGCTGAAGGGGCCAAGGAAGCCACTCAATTCAAAGATATTTAGAAATGGGCAATCAATACTGATCTTGCTACTGACATTCCACATAATAATAAAGAACAAAAAAATTCTGTTGGATTTGGACACGTGATCTCCCAACACGTGCTGGTCCATTCTGGAAAGGTTAATGATCTGTCCACGTACAAGGGATCGCTTTTATAAACCAACACAGATCAATCTGCTAGATCTAACATTTAGGATGAATTGAGCTGCGGTATATACCATTAGAGATGGAAGAAGAGACCAAGCACAGACATGCTCTGCCTATTTCATCACTGTTCTAGAATAAAGGACAAAACACTAGGCTCTTCGCATACAACTCCTTACTTACTAAATACACTATTAGCTGGCATATGCTTTAACATAATAAAAAGTCATATTACATTTATGTAAAACAATGCAAACTATTTTTAAATAGAAAAACTACATAGTAACAGGATTTCCATTAAAACCAGATTTATTACAAGATTTTAAATGTGAAACTGCATCTTCAATTTTAAATACCAAAATTCTTTTCCTCCCCTTTTATAGGAACCGTTTTGCTCGGCTCAGCAGATACTGAGATGAAACGCTAAATGTTAACTCAAACATCACAAAGAATAACTCATCTACGGAGACGATGAATATACTGTAATCTAATTTAAGCAATGAAAGTGAAGTTTTTATAAAATAATTATTTATACTTGCATCTGAAAATAATCTGAAACTCATTAGAATGATCATAGCTGATAAATGTGTGAACAAGCAATCCTCAGGTTGCAAACTGGTTCCATTCTAGTGCCCATTTGCAAGTTGATTTGTATGCAAATGGGAACACCATACAGGACAATATAAAAGGAACAAAAACACAGTCGCTGGAAAAGCTCAGCAGGTCTGGCAGCATCTGAGAAGGAAAAAGAGTTAACATTTCAGGTCCGGTGACCCTTCCTCAGAACTCGGACCTGCTGAGCTTTTCCAGCAACTTTGTTTTTGTTCCTGATCTACAGCATCCTCAGTTCTTTCGGTTTTTATTTACAATATAAAAAGGAGTTGTTCTCAGTTATAGGAAATGTCTGTATGTCGAATGTTTAAAATTATACCTCTCTACAGGATCACATTAGTAAGTGTGACTTTTTCGGACGTTCCTTGTGTAAATTTAAGGCTGAGATAGATTGATTCTCTTATTGATCAAAAATCTAAGTTTACAGGTAAAGGCAGGAAAGTGGACATGAAGAATATCAGATCATCCATGATCCTATTGAATAGTAGAGCAGACTGGAGGGGCTGAACAGCCTACTCCTGTGCCTAGGTTTTATGGTAAATTGAGGACACTTGGTACTTTTTGAAATGAAATCCAATATTTCTGAGTTGATTCTAGTACTTACAAGCCAATTAGAGGTATCAATTTAAACATTAAAAGTAATTACTTAATTTATACACACGTGATGTGTTGCAATTGAAAAATATTATTTCCAATACCTGAGACCCCGGACAAACAGGTCAAGAATGAATGTCTGCAAGTTAAGTAGCTTTGGCTGAGTTAGAGAGCTGAAGTTGTAGACACTGACACATTAGGGAGGGGAGGTTACTGGAGAATTTGATCCAGGAAGAAGTCACACTCCTTAGAATAGGTCACTGGTCAGGCATAGGAGGGTATGACTGCAAGTCAGGAGGTAAAGGGATCAATGAATGTAGAAGTGAAGAAGCCTCGACCTTAGAAATTACTAGAAACAGTTCTGAGATGCTTGCAACATGCATTAACCGAAATGTGGGTTGCAAGGTGGATGAACAAGCTAACCATGGTACAATCCATTCAAGCGGGGGAGTCAATAGGAACGCAGTGGTAGTAGGGGGCAGTAGAATCAGGACAAACAGTTCTCTATAGCCAAGAGGAGGAATCTAGATGACTGTGCTGCCTACCCACTGCCTGGATTCAGGACTTGCACCAGAAGGGATGCAGTGGCCATCATCAGCAATGGTACAAATGACACATTAGGACTGGAGAAAAAGCTTCTGCTTACAGAGAAGAACCTAGAGGCTAAATTAAATGTGGAAATATCAAAGGCAATAATCTCTGGATAACTACCTAAACTATAAGCAAACTGGTAGAGAGTAATTAAGATTAGAGATTTACATGTTAGATCAAAGATTACTGTGGGAACAATAGGGTTTGATTCTGGGGACACTGGCACCAGTACATTGAAAAGTGTGAGATATACTGTTCAGACAGGTTTCGCCTGAACCACACTGGCGCCAGTGTTCTGATGAGTTAGAAACTAGGGCAATAGAGAAGGTAGCAAACGAAATAGTGGGGATGAGGGATCAAGTGTGGGAGTATTTTATAAATTAAAAAAAGACAAAAGAGCAAGGTAGCAATAAGGGGAATTCTGATCAGAGCAGAGTATGACAATAAGGGACACAATAGAAATTTAGGAGTACATCAGCAGATAAGGCCAGAGACTGCAAAAACGAGAAAAATAGAGTTAAAGGCTCTGCATCTGAATATACCTAGCATCCACAACAAAACAGAAAAACTAACAGGCCAAATGGAAATAGCACATACGATCTGATCATCTCTGTGAAACATGGCTACAAGATTACAAAAACTGGGACCTGAATATTTAAGGGTACATCACATTTCGGAAGTGTTTTCTTGGCCTGGCTCCATAACACAGAGTTTGGGTTCAAGACCGACTGCTTGAGGAGAAAGCAAAAATCAAGAACTGTCTTTCATGCTCAGACTTCAAAAGGAAGACTATTATATATTCATACAAAATATTGTTATCCATGGTAATCATAACTACACTAAGTTCTAATCTTATAGTTGGACAAAATATTATCTTCCTGTGTTGATCTCCATATGCTCTCTCAATTTTTCTTAGCTAGATTATTCTAACTCTGACCACACTTGGTTATTTATGTTCAGTGATGCGCAGTTCCATGATAGTGTCAATAGACTGCTCCAGTCTCCTGGGGCCGTCACACAACAGTCAGGAAGCTAGGATAAGACACAAAGGCAGCTCTGGTCAATGAAGGTTGATATTAGTGCAACAGTGAGAGATAACCTTAGTCCTAAAGATAAAGATAGGTTCTATTTGAGTAAAGGTAAGAAAACTGAAGCTCGGAAGTAGCTTGTAGTATTAGCTTGTGGCCCCCCGAACAGCAATTACATGGTAGGCAGGGCTGGACAGAGAAAGGTACAGTGACAATTATGGTGGTTTTAATCTACATATATATTGGATGAATATGATTTTTTGTGGGGGGTTATGGGCATCGCTGACATGACAGCATTTATTGCCTACCCCTAATTACACTCAAGTAGTTGATGGCAAGCTGCATTCTGGAACATCAGTAGTTTTTTTGGTGTAGGACACCCAAGGTGTTGTTGGAAAGGGAGTTCTGGTAATTTGGCCTAGTGGCAATGAATGAACGGCAACATAATTCCAAGTCAGAATGGCATGAGAATGAGGCAAACTCTTATGCAGTGGTGTTCCCATGAATATGCTGCCCTTGACCTTATAGGTGGTAGAAATCACAGAACTGAAGGGTGCTGTTGAAAGAGCCTTGACAAATTACTGCAGGGCATCTCGTCAATGTACATCAGTGGTAATATGAGTGAATGTCGAAATGCTGGATGGGATGCCAAACAAGTGAACTGTCTCTTCTGTACCCTAGATGGTATCAACTCTCTGGAGTGTTGTAGGAGCTGCACCCACCCAGCCAAGTGAGGGGCATTCTATGATACTTGCAATTTCTAGTTGACGGACAGGCGCTGGAAACGGAATGAGTTTAGCAAAGGTAGCCTGGAACGTGAATTCACAGAATGCATTCGGAACAGTATCTCAGAACACCACATGCTAGAACCAAACAGCGGGCTATTCTGGATTCAATTGTGCAACACGACAGAATTATCTAATGACTTCATAGTAAGGGCACCCCTAGGTAATATTGGTAATAACATAATTAAATGCTGCATTTCATTTGAGGAAGACAGCAGTGAACTGAAGATGAGTGCTTTAAAGTTAAATAGAAGCAAATATGAGCATAGGACGAAAGAGCTGGCTAATGTAATCTGGCAATTTAGGTTAATGAAAAAGTCTCAATAAAGATGCAGTGACTGACATTTAAGGCAATATTTTAAAGAGCTTAGCATTGATATATTTCAATGAGGAATAAAGGTTCAGGAGAAGGTCACACCATCCATGACTCGCTAAAAAAGTTAAAGATGAATTAATTTGAAAGATAAAGCTTAAAATTTCATGAAAATTAGTGGCACATTAGAAGAATATAGTCTTTAGTCATTTTATTTTTAAACAGAAAGACATTAGAATGAGAGAAAGCTAGCTAGAGATATAATAACATAATAAAACAATTTTATACAAGTATAAAAATAGTTAGCGACTGTTGGTCCTATGCTGGGCAATCCAGGGAATTAATAATGGAAAGTTTTTTAAAAAATCAAATGAACCAAACAGATATTTTGTATCTGCCTTCACTGTAAAGGATACAGGTAATATACCAAAAATAACTTTTCAATTTGTCTTCTCCTTTCAACTACGATTACAGGGAACAGGTACCAAGAAAAATATTAGAATTAAAAGCTGACAAGTCCACAGGTCCTGTTGGACTTCATCCTAAGTTGTTAAAAGAAGCAGCTACTTAGATAGCGGACACATTGGTTTTAATCTTACAAAATTCTCTCTGTTCTGCAAAGATGTTGTCAGATTGGAAAGTGAATGTGACTCCACTATTCAAGAAAGAAGGGAGACATAAACCAAGAAATAAAAGCAGTTCTAGCTTAACATCTGTCATAGGAAAAATGCTGAAATCTATTATTGCGGAGATTACAGTGGGGCACTTAGTAATTAGCAATGCAATCAGACAGAGTCAACATGGTTTTATGATAGGGAAATCATGCTTGACTAATTTAGTTCTGAGGAAGTAACAAAAAACATAGATAAAAGGGAATCCATGATGTGTACTTACCATTTTTGAAAAGGCATTTGGTAAGGTGCCACATCATAGGTTAACTACTAGAATAAGAGCTCGCGGAAGACGTCTATAAAGGGATACAGGTAAGTCAAAGAAGTGAACGAAAACTTAGCAGATGAAGTATGATGCGGGGAATGTGAACTTATCCACTTGGAAGAAAAGATAAACACCTCATTATCTTTGCAGATGAGGTATGAAGGAATCTGCAAGTCCGAGTACATGAATCATATAATTTATAAGCAAGTACGGCAAGTGATTAGGAAGGCAAAAAGAACATTGTTGTTTATTGCAAGGAGAACAGAATATAAAAGCATGATGTTTTGCCATAGTTGCACAAGGCAATGGTGAAGCCACATCTAAAAAGCTGTACAGTTTTGAATTTCTTAAGGAATAAAGTAATTTGCATCCTGGGACGAAGGGTTTAGTTGCTGAGGGAGGTTGGATAGTTTGGGCCTTTATTGATTAGAGTTTAGAACAAATGGCGATCTAATTAAAATATAATTTGAGAAACTGACAGTAGATGCTGAAACGATGTTTCCTGTCATGGGAAAGACTAGGTTAGGGAACATAGTTTAAAATCAATGGCATTTGCATTTAAGACTGAGATGAGAGGAATTTATTTTTCTCTGAGGATCACAAATTTGTGATCCCAGCCAGCAGTGGGAAGACAAGGTAGATCGATTCTTGACTAAAAAAGAAGTCAAAGGTTATCAGAAATAGGTAGCAAAATGACTTAAGGCCATAATCAGTTCAGCCACAATATATCAAATGGCTTGAACAGGCTTGAGATGCCAAATAGCCTACTCCTACTCTTCATACAAGTCTGATAAAACTGGTTTCAAGACTTTAATAACATCTTTACCAGATGCGATTCTAATTCAGAAATCTTCTCAGGGGTTCCAGATCCAATGTAATATATTCTGATCATATGATCACTGCTGCCAGCTGCTAGAAACATGCCACCTTTTAAAGACAAAACATTATTCTTCAGATCAAAATTTTATTCAGGAACAACAATTAACCACAATGATTAAATTAACAGCAAGACATGTTTATAAATATAATTGCTCCAGCTAGAATAATGCAAAAGTATTCTGATCTCAAAACTGCGACAAAAAAAAAACTTAGGATCAAAACTAGATAATACAGTGTGGAGCTGAAGGAACACAGCAGGCCAGGCAGCAGCAGAGGAGGAGGACAGTTGACATTTCAGGTCAGGACCCTTCTACAGAAATTCTTCTGCCTAGCCTGCTGTGTTCCTCCAGCTCCACACTGTATTATCTCTGACTCCAGCACTGGCAGTTCTTACAATCTCTGACTGAGTTATAGCATCAAAATTAAATGTCCTAAAACAACAATGGACTATGTGGCATAGAAAATAACTAACAAAACTGAGAAACTAGTACTTATAGAGCATGTTAAAATTAAAACAAATTAACTATACACCCAATACAAGGGAATTTCAACAATTTCAAGGCAATGCTTATCGTAAGATGGAAACTGACATCCAGATGAACTTCAGGTCCTGACATTGCAGCTACATGATTCTCATTTACAATAGCTTAATTAGCCAAGAGGCACCTTGGCATTCAATTAGAGGCACCAAGTTCTCCCAGAAGCTGGGAGCTGACTGCCTGAACAGGTGACAAAGGCAGATTAAAGCTTTTATAAAAGCTTCCTTTCAGAGGAGGCAGCTCATCAGAAGGCCAGGAGCTGAAAAGCAAAGTAAAATCGATTCTAGCGAATTTAAGGTAATGTGCTGGGTCTGGCACCAGCTGGCCCATCATAACTTATTTTGTTAAAAAAAGAAAGTAAACGTCACAGCAACAAATTTAACAGTATCAAATACTGAGACAAAACAGTATTCTCATGCTCTTTTATCACTCCTTTCACTTGCTGAAGCAGTCATTAGAAGCAAGAGTTAGAATCAGGAGTAATTATTTGGCCTTCACACTTGATCTGCCATTCAATATGGTTATAGCTGATTTGTGACTTTATCTCCACATTCCTGCCTACCCACAATAACTTTAGACTCCCTTGATGATGAGAAATATCTTTACAACAGGGGCCCTCCAGTGTCTGACTCAGTGTACCCTTTGTGTAAATGTTAATAATAAAAGCTCTCAAAGAATTCATCAGGATATTTCCATATGTAGTTGCATACGCACAGACACACTTTGCTAGTAGAGCATTGTTTAAATGATCAGATTAAGGAATTTTAGCAATTTCTTCCCTTGCCCAGGCTCTCAAAGTATCAATGAATTTACACTTCTATCCCAAGAAAATATCTGCAAAGTCAGTTCCAAAGAAATTCAGCAAGCGTTTTCTGTACTTTTTAAATTTAATTACAAAAAAAAACATTGTCACTTACCAACACTGAACGAGGAGCAAATCATTGGAGAACATGGTCTTGAGCGTTCCGTAAACTTCAATGGCTGATTCCTTACACAAAGTGATATTGGGTAACACATTAAAACAATAAGAAATTGCTTTAAAGAGAACAGAATTGCTCACTGACTAAATTCTACCACTACTTCGGTTTTCAATTTATGATTGATAGGCCAGTGAGACAATCCAGGTTTAGCACCACAATTGTTATCAATTATATTCGATGGTCACCTAGAGTACTTTGCATAGTTGTGGGCGCCAACAGAAAAAGACATGAATGCACTGAAGAGAGTGCAGAAACAATTTACGAGAGTGTTTGTATGGATGAGAAACTTCAGTTATAAGGAGAGATTAAAGAAGTTGGAATTGTTCTCCTTTGAGAGAAGGCGGCTAAGAAGAGATCTAATGAGCAGGCTAGAGTGAATAGGGAGAAACTGTTCGCTCTCGTAAAAATAGAGACAATAGAGTATAGATTTAAAGTGATCTGCGAAAGAAGCAAAAGTGAAATGAGGAAAATCTTTTTTTACACAGCGAATAGTTAGGATATGGAATGCATCGCCTGGAAATGTGGTAAGGCAAGTTCAATTGAGCCATTCAAGAGAGCACTGGATTACTATGTGGATAATAGATAATGTGTATGGGGAAAACGCAGAAGAGTGGTACTAGGTATTGACGCTCATTTAACACGCCTTTGCAGACGTTGTGAACTGAATGGCCTCCTTCTGTGTCGTAACAATTCAGTGGTTCTGAGAGGTAACAGTGACAGTATTTACAGTGTTCACAATTACTCCAACTTATATTTGAGTTAGGAACCTGCTAACATGAAGAATAATGCAGAAAACCACAAGTTGCTGTGAGAGGGACAATTCTCCAAAGGGCACACTGTTGAAATCACTTCAAACTGCAATTAATTAGAAATCAAAACTGGAAAGAATTGCCGCTCATACACTCAGACTCACTATAAAAAGTCCTTCAGAGTACAAAATTCATGATTACTGCTGAACACCCTCAGCAACCCGGAAAAACTAACTTTACATTTATGGCAAGTCAAATTTTTCTATATCGCAAAATATTACTTGCTTTGTTTAAACATATTCATATTTAAGCTCTAATATTAATCCAACCAATCACATTTCACTATCATAATAAAAGTGAAGCAATTCAATGTTTTTAAATTGTCAATGTATTGCCTGTGAGAAGACTTCAATGGATTGGTTGCTTGCTTGCTGACAGCATTGTTACTGATGCCTGGAGATACCACTGACATTACACTAAATTTTAACTGCCTCACAAATATGGAAAACCACGCCACAGAAATCATGAAACCTTCGTTAGAAGCTTTATTCAAGGTTGGCTGTAAATGCCAATGCTTCACACTGACTGCAAAATCTAGCCCAACACATTGGCACCAATGCATTCACGACAAGTTACTTTAGTATGTGCTCACACTTAATTTTTTAAACTTTAGATTTGGCAAAGCTACTACTACAAAGCTCACAGATGTCATCCTATATCTTAGCTATGAAGCTGAATGGAAAATATCAACTTTTTTTATGACATAAATTTTGAATAACAGAACATTTTTACAAGTTAGGCGAATAAAAGATTAAGTTTTAAAAAAGGAATGGAAAGTCCATGTTTCCTAATAGGCAAAAATTAAAGTTTAAAAGAAGTTAAAGCAGTAGAACTTGGTTCACAAACGTTATTTGTGCATTCTTAATAGAACAATTCCAAAACCAGTACTTTGCAATTTTATTTCTGTAGTTAAAGGATCCACAAAAAGCAATTGCCAATATAGTTTCACTCAAGTATTTAAATCACTGAGCAATATTTATGAAAACTTACTTGAACTTCAGGGTATTTGGATCCCACTGCCAAAAGCAAACACTCCCATCAGATCCTGTGGAAGCCATGTACCGGACTGAACCTTTACCCATCGGACTAAACTAAAATAAATGCAGAAAGAGACAAAATACCAGTACCATTAAATTTTCAATCACGTTTTAAAAATCTACATTAGAAATTGATCTGTCAGGCAAAAATAAACTTCCTTCCATTATTTATTACTGAACTAGAGATTCATATAAATATTCTTAACTAGCCTCAAATATAACAGTTCAATTAAATTTCCAATTTTGTTTGAAGATAGCTGCATTCAACAACATTGAAGTACAGGAAAACAGATTAAATACAAATAATAGAGACAACAAGGTGCAGGGCTGGATGAACACAGCAGGCCAAGCAGCATCATGCTTGGCCTGCTGTGTTCATCCAGCCCTGCACCTTGTTGTCTCGGATTCTCCAGCATCTGCAGTTCCTACCATCTCCAAATACAAATAATATCTGGCCTTAAAAATAATTATGCTAACAGCTGTACTGTGGTCAGAGATCAGTTTAAAAAAAGTGTGCACACACATGCAGAGACTACATTTAAAACATAGGCAGAATGTTCAAGCTCCTTCACTGTCAATTAGCTTTCTGAATTGATTCAGCAGAATCAGAATGGTATTTATAGGATATCAAAGTTTTAAACACAAATAATGCACTCTTTGCATCACTGCAAGGCAGAACTTAACTCTTTCAGAGGTTAAAATAGTTGTGCTAATTTGGTGAAATCAATAGTTACTAGCTCAGGTCAATAAAGCAACATTTCCACAATTTTGCTATCAATATAACAAAAATCTCGAATATAACAACAAAGTGCAATGGCTTAATAGAGTTAAAACCTGTAAGGACATGAATAAGCACAGATTACACATACAGGCAATCCCTGATTTTTCAAACATCTGACTTATGAACCCCTTTAGTTCTGAATGAGATCCCATGCAGAACTGTATTAATAAAGATTCAACATGCGACCATATGCCTTTATTTACAAATAGCTATTTTATACCATTCTGTATTATGCTCTGACTTGCATATGAATCAACTTAGGAACATACTAATGAACATAACTCATTTGCAACCTAGGGACTGCCTAAATAAACAAGAACATTTACACCAACTAAAGTTGCATAATTTTAACAATATGAAATTTACCTGTAGAGAAGTAATGGATCCCGTGTGCCCCTGCAACACAGCTACCGGAGCACACGTTCTCAAGCACCAAACTCGAATTAGTTTATCACAGCTGCCAGCTGCTAGCATAGTGTTCTCATAATTTACAGCCATATCAGAAATCTCAGTGGAGTGACCACGTAGGGTGGAGAGTAATCGCCCAGTGTGTGTGGCCCAAATTTTCACCAGACAGTCATCAGAACCCTGGAGCAGAAACAAATTTTTACTATACGTTTCATAATTGTTGAGCTTTCAAACCCTCCTGCATATAACATTGCTAAATTCTCCATCCTTGAAATACAAATGTACTTCCTGAACAATTTTAATCTACTGCAGCAATCTAAATTATTGAAGTAACATATTTGAAATAAATTCAACTTTGCGAGGTAGAAATTGAAGCAGGATAAGAAACATTTGATAAACATAATTTCTTCAAAATTCAATGTATTTATAAACATGGAGTTCAAATCAAACTTTAGCTCGTGAGATGGTGATGGTCTACTGGTCTTATTGCTAGACTATTAATCTGGAGACTAGATAACCCTCTGGGATCTGGGTTCAAATCCTACCGTGGCAAATGGTGTCTTTTGAATGCAATAAAAATCTGGAATTTAGAGTCTAATGACAAATTAAACCATTATTGATTGTCTGGAAAATCCCATCTGGTTCATTTTTTTAAAAAGACAAAATTATAGATTATACTGATGTCCAAAAAGTAAGTTTCCAGGGAAAGATTTAAAGATGATTTAGTTAACAAGAAATCTCTGATATCAGAATTACTATGACTTGAACTCTCAACTTAAAAAGGGACTGGACTTGTATGTCAATTTCAGATGTTCAGACATTCTCATTATTAGGTACTGTGAACATATCTCCGGAAATACTCTCCCAAATAACAGTCACAAGAGAAACTGGACAGAGTTCAGAAGTTAAGTTAAGGATTCACAAGTAGCAGCTGTTCAAAACAAAAGTGAGACAAGGTTTAGGACAAAATTTAAATATAAATTTCATCAACTAAATCACAGAATCATAGAATGAATTTAAAATAGCAGATGGCATTTAGTTCCTTGTGTCTGTGCCAGTCCTCTGTAGTAATTATTCAGCTAGCCCCACTCTAAACACCCTGCAAATGCTTTCATACAAACTTAAGGTGCAGGGGTATTGGGAAAAGGCAGGAGATTGGCGCGAGGTAATAGAACCAGTGCAGATGTCATGGGCCAAATGGCCTCCTTCTGCACAGTAATAATTCAGTGATTCATGGAGAAAATGCAAAAGTTGGCCATTTGGCTCTCAATCCTGGCCATTCATTTAATAATTTTATGACTAATCTGAATGCAACCTGAACTCCACCTTCTTGCCTGCACATCCTTACCCAATTAACGTTCCACTCCCTCGTGGATAACAAAAGAAGCTGTCAAATTCTGTCCTAAATATTCAATGGCCACTGTTCTGACATAGAAAAAATTCAAGGATTAACAATCCTCACAGAAGAAATTTCTCCTATTCTCAGTGTTGAGTGGGACTTATTTCTAAATTGCACCATGAGGGGTAATAACCCCCTTCAAATCTATCCTGTCAAGTCTCCTCAGAGTTTTATGTTTTAATATCATTCCTCATTCTTCTAAACTCGAGTATAGTTTGAACCTACTAAATCTTTCTTCAGAGGGCAATGCCTTTATCCCAAAAATCAAAACAGTTGTCTTTGTCTGAGGTCTCCAATGCAAGTATTTCTTGATTTAAATAAAGAGACTGTCAGGACAGATGTAGAACTATCCTTCGCGAGACAATTGAGAGTCCACATCAGTAAAGGAAGAAGTACATGGAGAAACTTGGTAAACAGACAAACTACAGGACTCTGTGCTAGCATCAATACTGTTCAACATATATACAACTGACTTGGCAATAATTATGTTTCGCAAATTCATTTATGTTGATGGCATCTGTTGTGCCACCCAAACTCCAGCCTTCTGCATCCTGGACAAGATCCTTAAATATATTACAAAGGTTGTTGAATCACTGCAGCATATGGCATCTCATATTGACACCTCTAAAATCATATCCTGTGTATTCCAATCCCACAATGCCCGTGCCAAAATGAACCGCATACCTACATGGAGACGAGTAGAGACTAAAGCATGATCTCAACCCTATATACTTAAGAATGTCTCTGAAGGAAACTTTGTTCTTCCAGAAACATCAGGAGAAAACAGTAAAGATCAAAACCAGAAGTAATTCTGTGGTCGGTTTGTTCACCGAGCTGGTTCGTTAGTTCGCAGACGTTTCATTACCCTGCTGGGTAACATCATCAGTGCAGCCTCTGATGAAGTGCTGTTGTATTTTCCTGCTTGGTATTTAAACTCTGGGGTACATTGGATTTGATTACCTCATTTCCGGTTTTCCTTCACAGTGGTGTATATGTAGGGTCCAGTTCTATGTGTTTGTTGATGGCCTTCTTAGTGGAGAACCAGGCCTCTAGGAATTCCCGTGCCTGTCTCTGTTTGGCCTGTCCTAGGATCCTGGTGTTGTCCCAATCAAACTGGTGGTTCCCCTTATCCATGTGGATGGAGATGAGTGGGTATTAGTCATGTCTTTTTGTTGCTAGTTGGTATTCACGTACTCTTGCAGCCAATTTTCTTCCTGTCTGTCCAATGTAATGTTTGTCGCAGACCCTGCATGGAATTTTGTATATTACGTTGGTTCTGTCCATAGTGGAAAAGGGGTCTTTGGTTCGAGTTAGCAGTTGGCACAGGGCTGACGTAGGTTTGTGTGCCACTCTGACGCCCAACGGTCATAGGAGTCTTGTGGTCAGTTTGGATATACAGTAGTGTCATGAGTGTGTTAGGTCATGCAGTATCTTCCTGTTGCTGTTCATGCGATAAGCATCGTCGGATCCAATTGTTCAGGTATCCGTTGTCCTTGAATACTTTGTGGGGCTACTCTTCTTTTTGGCGTAGTTCCAGGTTGCTACAGTGCGTTGTCGCTTTTTTAAATAGTGTTTTCACGCAACTTCGTTTGTGGGTGTTGGGGTGGTTACTGTTGAAATTCAGGACACATCCGTGCGTGTGGCTTTTCTGTGTACCTTTGTTAGAAATTCCCAATTAGCCCTGCATTCTACCATGATGTCCAGGAACAAAGCTGTTCGTTCTTTTCTTCTTCCTTGGTGAATTTGATGCCGGTGACAGTGTTATTTATTAGTTGGTGTGTCTCCTCTAGTTTGGTCTGTTTGATGACGACAAAAGTGTCGTCCACGGATCAGATCCATAGTTTAGGCTAGATCTGCAGAAGGGCCATGTTTTCGAGACTCTGCATCACCGCTTCTGCTATTATTCCGGAAACAGGTGATCCCATGGGTGTCTCATTGAACTGTTCACAGATTTGGCCATTAAAAGTAAAGTGGGTCATGAGGCATAGGTCCAGTAGTTTCAGCTTGTTGTCTCTGGAGATGGTGTCACTCAGGTCTCATTCTTTTAGTAGTGTTGCTGTGTTTCTTTTGCCAGTGGTGTGTCAATCGATGTGAATGGGACGGTGTCCACGTTGCGGACAGTGCAGAGGGCTGTTTTAGGTTACAAAGGGACATTGATAGAATGCAGAGCTGGGCTGAGAAGTGGCAGATGGAGTTTAACCCTGAAAAACGTGAGGTGATTCATTTTGGAAGGACAAACTTGAAAGCAGAATACAAGGTTAACGGAAAGATTTTTAGCAGTGTGGAGGAGCAGAGGGATCTTGGGGTTCATGTTCACAGTTCCCGGAGAGCTGCCACCCAGGTGGATAGAGTTGTTAAGAAGGCGTATGATGTGTTAGCTTTCAGTAATAGAGGGATTGAGTTCAAGAGCCGTGAAGTTATGCTGCAGCAATACAAAAGCCTGGTTCGGCCACATCTGGAGTATTGTGTCAGGTTCTGGTCACCTCATTACAGGAAAGATGTGGAAGCGTTAGAAAAGGTGCAGAGGAGATTTACCAGGATGTTGCCTGGAATGGAGGGAAGGTCTTACGAGGAAAGGTTGAGAGAGCTAGGGCTTTTCTCTTTAGAACGAGGAAGGATGAGAGGTGACTTGATAGAGGTGTACAAAATGATCAGAGGTATAGATGAGTAGTCAGCCAGAGACTTTTCCCTAGGGTGGAGGTAGCTTTTACGAGGGGACATAGTTTTAAAGTGAAAGGAGGTAGATATCGGGGAGACGTCAGAGGTAGGTTCTTTACTCAGAGTGGTAGGGCCGTGGAATGCATTGTCAGAGAGGGTAGTGGAGTCGGCCTCATTAGGGGCATTTAAGCCCCTAGGGGCATTTAACCTATTAGATAGGCACATGGATGATAGTATAAGGTAGCAGTGGAGGTTAGAAAGACCTTAGGTTTAGGGTAAAAGTTCGGCACAACATCTTGGCCAGAAGGGCCTGTACAGTGCTGTACTGTTCTATGTTCTATGTTCTAGAGCGTTGTTGGTGCTGCACCCATCCAGATTAATGGGTCAGTAATTGGTCTCATGGGATTTGTCTTGTTTTGTGCGAAAATTAGATGCCTGGTATACAACCATAGAATCTCTAAAGCATGGAAGCAGGCCATTCAGCCCATTGAGCCCACAGACCTAGGCCCCACCCTATCCTTGTAATCCTGTACATCCCATGGCTAATCCACCTAGACCGCACATTTTTGGACTAGGTCAGAAGTCACATGACACCTGGTTATAGTCCAATAGGTTTATTTGAAATCACAAGCTTTTATAGCACTGTCCCTTCGTCAGGTGATGTGAAGAGAGCAACCAGGCACAGAACTGATAATCAGAGGCATCGAATGGTGTGTGAGTGGAGTGTCAACAGACCAAATAATAGATCACTGCAGGTGATCAAGAGTGTTCGACAGTGAGAGACAAGTGTCAACAGCTGAATAACAAGTGAAGGGATGACCTATAATCTGATTAATTGACGCAGAGAGATAACTATAAAAAAAAATTAAAAATAAGGTGTTGCTGGACGCAAATCAAATGACTGTAATAACAGAGATAGTAAGAACTGCCAATGCTGGAGTCTGAGATAACAGTGTAGAGCTGGAAGGACACAGCAGGCCAGGCAGCTTTCCTGCTCCTCTAATGCTGCCTGGCCTGCTGTGTTCCTCCAGCTGTACACTGAATAACATGCTAGGTATAAGAGATGCATGCCGAGGGTCTAACCAAAGTAACAAGTAATCCAAAACTGTACAAACTAATTAAG